TTAATTCCTGTAATATACAATATGTAATAAGTTCTTAAGTTCTTAATTAATAAAATTACAGCATATAAGCAATTTACTTAAAAAAAATATATATATATATATATATATTTAGAATAAAGCATAAATTCTAGACTTTATTTTGAATATTAAATTATCAAAATAGCTTAAAATATGAATCATAAAAGTTAAAGTATTAATTTTTTTTAAATATAGATTTGCTTAATTTCTATTAGCAGCTGCCTATATATATATAAATTTATAAAGTAATATAATAACTTTTTGTAATATATATATATATATATACATAGTATATAAATAGAAATATTAAATAAAAAATTATAGACAAATAAAATTATTTTTTTTTATGTTTTTTTTTTGGATATTAGTAGGAATAGCATCAGCTTGAGCTGGCTCATAAAGCTGAGCTAGCTGACTCAAGCCAGCTCATGTGATATGTAATAAATTCGAATTTGTCATGTAATAAAATCAAATCGATATGATAAAATCAAATTTATTATATGATAAATTCAATTTTATTGCATTAGCTCCGAGCTGGCTTGATGGCTCAGCTCAAAAGCTATGGCTAAGCTGGCTTATTATATATAAGCCAATACTATCTCTAGATATTAAAATAATTTTTTAACTAAAAACTTTTTATTAAGTAATAAATAATATTTACAATTATAGTAAAAGTATAACTAGCTACATGTATATTTTTAGTATCTAATTTAAGTAGTTTGCCTAAAGGTTCTATACTAGCTATCTATACTTGCAACCAAATTATAAAGTTATTTATTTAAACTCTCTAGTTATAATTGCTAGTTATATACTAATCTAACTAAAATATAACTTACTATATATATATATAGATTTTGTACTGTCTATAAATTTTATAGAACTAATTTATCTTTAAAATAAATTTGATAAAGCAAAGATCCTACCAGGTGAAATTAGGTTAGGATTAGAGAGTTTAAATAGACAACTCTCTAGTTGAGTTGCAAGTATAATAGCTAGTATAAAACCTAGGGTAAACTACTTAATTAGACAATTAAAAATTATATATATGGCTAGTTATACTCTTGCTATAGCCAGAGGGTTTAAATAGATAATCTCCTAGTTAGATTGCAGGTATAGTAGCTAGTGTAAAACCCCAGGCAGACCACTTAAATTAGATAACCAAAAGTTGTATGTGTGGCTAGTTGTATCTTTATTGTAATTAAAACTTAACTTCTAATAAAAAGTTAGAACCAAAACGATTATCTTTAATACCAAAAAAAAAATAAAAAATCCAATAAAGCAATTCATATCTCATACAAGTTTTGTCTATATTTTAGTAACTTCTTTCTAATTAGTACTACTGCTACTATGTTTGTATTTCAAGCTATTTTTTATAATGCTACTATAATATAGTCCATATTTCAAGCCACTACTTTTTTAATTAATTACCTATTATTTATTTCTGTCTTTGTAAAGTTCATATCAACTCTGATACCTATATTTAGACTTACTTTTTTTTTTAATCTTTTTTTTTATTTTTAGTCTGCAGCCTAATGAGATTAATCTTAGCTTAGTTCTGGCCTGTTTTTTCTTGTTCATGCTTTTAGAGCATATGTTCTTTTTCTCTAGTGCAATAGAACTAATAACTAGGCTAGTGGATTTCTCTACTTAAGAATTTATTGTTATTTGATTTTTTAATTTTAGTTCTCAGTTCTGAATTTAGCCTTCTTGTAGCATTGTCAAAGATCTCTGGTATCTCCCAACTTAGGACTTTCCAAATAGGTTTTAATTATTCCAGTTCTTTGAATTTTTGCACCAAAGCTTCTATGATGTTCAACCATATACGCTCCATCTGCCTTACTCATTTTTGACGACATTCATTCTTTCACCTTCATCACATTCGCTCTTTCGAATGTTTCCTTTGCCAAGACCTTCAGGTATGTCTTTGATTTTCATTTTTTCCTTCATATTCCGATTACCTTGATCATTTGCACTAACGTTCTTTATTCCCATTACTATCGAGTTATATTTAATCTTCCCATTACGCTTCGATTAACCTTATATCCTTTGTCCTTTATATTCACAAACTTCATGAACCTTACGTTGATTACTTCCGGATTTTCTGCACATTTTTTTTTCAAACTTCCATTTCCAAATACAATCTTTGAAACGAGCAATTACCTGTTATGACCTGTTGACGTTATTGCATAATGGCTACATTGTTATATGTAAAGCTGGATATGACCTAAATGGACAATACTGGCCCGGGTATGTGTTTAATATATTTATAGACATGAATCATATTTTTTCGTGCGAAAAATTACTTGTTATATTGGGATGCGCGTTAATTAGGGACGCGCATGGGAGATTACATATGCTATTTTAGGGGGATTCGATTTTCAAAATAACGCTCGTAGGCATTATTTCGCGCTTATGTGATGATATCAAATTACTGTTACTAAATTATTTTAAAAATATTAATATACTGTATTTTTTATACAATGTGTTATCCAAATAATGTGAATAACTATGTCGTTATGATGCAAAAGGAATCGAAAAAATGAAGCATTTGAATATTTTCAAATTTAAAATTTTTGACATGTTAAATTGCATAATCCAATACCACACAACCTGCTATTCAACATGTCGAATATTTCAATTTCGATCAGTGTTTGATTCGATTTGGTTAACCCGGTTGATATTTTTTAGGTCCAGTTGACACGGTTAAGCCGGATAACCCGGGTCAACCGTGTTAACCGAAATAATTCCGGTTAATCCGATTAGAATCAGTTGAGACGGTTTGGTTAACCGATTAATAATTGGTACTCGGTTCAAATCACTAGATGAATTCAGAGGGCATACATCTTCCTTTAACTGTTACTTATATACATTTTAGTCTATACCAGATACGATATTTTGAACTTTTTTTTTTTTTTTTTTGAGCGTCAACGCGTATACGCGAAATTTTGAGCATTACATGCATTATGCCACGAGAATAAATAATAACGCTTAATACATACTACTAAAGGTGGTGGCTGTGACTGTGCAAAGATGGAAGGTAGATAATAACTGAAAGAATTAGACGAAATGTGATAGACATGGGAAGGTAATAATCAAAAAAAACATGAGTATGTGATAATTGAAAAATGCTTTCGTGTTAGAGTTAGCATTTAGACTCATTTAGACTAAAATGCTTAATCAAAACTTTTTGTTAGCTCATGAAGGGCAGTTGTGCAAAATTTGAAAAATACTGTAGGTGATGTTTCTCAAAACGAATGTTTGGGGTTTTCTGATTGTATTATATTACATCAAATTATAATTTATAACAGTATTATTGCCTAACTGTG